TATATATATATATATATATATATATATTATACCAAGGCTATGAATCCGGAATCTCCGTTCTGAGGAGGCGACGCTCTCCGTCTCCCTCCCTCGGTTCCAATCGAACCAGAAAATCCAGAATCCGTCAGCTACAATGACCTCGGGATCCGATCAATCTCGTAGGGTTGGCTCAATAAACTCACCGGTTTCGTGGACGACATAGAACGAAGATGTCGGATAGCTCTTCGTATCTTCCGAGAGAGATCAGCGGAAGAACCCCGATCTGCTCAACCTCGTTAACGATTTCTTCAACACCAACTCCGAATTATCCCTTCTCTGCGAATCTCTGTAGACATGTCTGGAAAAATCTGATCTGTGAGAAACCCTAATTCTCGGAACTTTGTCCGGTTTGATGGAGGAAAAAAGAGAAGAAGGGAGTTTTAGTATAACGGGGATTCAAAGATTTCTCCGGCGAGTGACGACCCTTTCGTCATAGTGAGGATATACGTTCAGAATCATTAGTGGGCGGGGAGGACATAAAGATCGCGGAGGAACGCGTCGTAGTTCTTAACAGGTGGATAAATCTTTGATGATTGTGTTATTTCTGTGAATCGACTTAGCCACTGCAGAAACTCCCCATGTTAGTCCCATGTTACTCCCCTTTAAGCCCCCGTTTGAATCAGAGAATTAGAGTCTCTGACGCAATGGCCCAAGAAGCACACAAGCTGGCTGGTAAACAGAACTAGTTGGGTATCTTTATCGTTTCTGTCGGTCTAACCAGTTAGTACAAATCCATTCTTGCAATTCAAAGTTCTGGTCTTTTCATGCATCTATGGTGGTGAGAATGACAATGTTCCCATGTCATTGACAGTAACAGTTGCATTCGGACATGAAGGGAGAAGAGAAGGAGAACTTGTCTCTAGACAGGCAAAGAGGAATCAACTTCCGAACTTCACCGACAGGCGATACGTGACCTGGAACCGGTAGTATCCGAGTGGCATTCCAGTTTCAACGTGACTTCATAGAGTCAATTCAGGCCTGGTTCAGGCTAACCCGTGTTCCAGTCTACAACGACGATGCCAACCAGAAAGAGCAGGTAGATGCTTACTACTTTCGCGATGAATGGAAGGTTGCCTTGATGAGAGCCATGATGCTAAATAACCTTCAGATCAGACGGGGTTGCTTGGTTGGTGCTTTCCAAGCCTTAACCAGTTTCTCTTCTCTCTAGTCTCTTCTCCGAGTCCCTTCAAACGGTATGCACCCGTTCCTACTCTACCAAATAGATCATTGTGTATATATGTGTATACATATATGAGATCAAGAAATGTTTACAGGTTAACCAAAAAAATAAATCAAGGAAACTCTTTACAGTTTCATAAATTGTCATCAGGATTATTATAAGATAGGTAAGTCTGTTGCTTTTGAGTAGTGATGCAACGAATTGATAGGATGTAATAGTAGGTTTAGATAAAATATAACCAACTGTATTTCATCAAAGAAGAAATACAATCAAACCAAGAGGCATACCTCTCTATTCCCAGAATAAGATTCAAGTTCAAAGATAACTTTCCAAAAGAAAAACAAGGAAATAATATAGCCGCTCCTCCTGCTAACAAACTGCTGAGGTGTCCTTCTGCAACAAATCCCCCAGCACGTACAGGGTGTGTCAATAACGGTTTTGGCCTAGGTAATCATTCCTTGCGCTGGTGCCTCACTTCCAGTGGAATCTTCCCCTCTGCTGCTGTGGTCCCCCCTCCCTGCGCCTTGGGCCGCTTCTTTCTCTCTGGGCCTCCTTTTCTTCCTGGTGTAGACTGATACGTGTGTACCGAGTCTAAAATATATAACCCGATTCACAACTCACCGCAAGGAT